TCAAGAAAGAAAGGATTCTGTATCACAACTACTCTAAAAGAGAGCAGATTAAGGTCTGCTTCTCCCCACAGCTTGTTCCCTTTCACAAACTACAAATTTCTGTCCCCTCAGATATAACCACAATGCAAATTTTGTGGAACTGTGTTATAAACTAGATCAGTGGAGCAATCGGAGTTACACTGTAAAGTAAGTCCACTTGCTTTAAAAAAAAAAAATCACACACCTAAAAGCTCAAAAACCTGTATGGACTACTTCAACCAAATAGATTTACAGCACAGCCTAAGTTCCTGCAAATCCAGTTTTATAATGGACTAATGCTGTGAGATGGCAGAAGATACCACTGATGAAGGAGAAGAATGAAAAGGAAGGGAAGAGAGTACTGCCATTCAACTACAGATTCCATTTTTCTTCTTTAAAGAAACAAAAGATTTGAAAGAAATTTGACTATTCTATCAACTCAGAGCTTCACCATCATTTGCTTGAAAGACCCAAACATTCAGGAAGAGAAGATCATTTCCAAAACAGCACAACAAAAAAATCTACCTGCGTCAAAAATGAGTAGAAACTTTTTAAGCTTTGTTGCACAGAAGATTCATGATGAAAGAGATTAATCTAGACAGAAGCACACATCTTGAGAAGTTCACAATAAATATATGGCAAGGGATGACAGTGGACTGAAATCACATGAAGGTATTGACCACCAACAGCTTTGTTTTTTTTTTTTTCTCCTGTCCTTTGCAAGGTTTCCATCTCAGATAGATCTGCGCACTTTGGCCAAACAACTCCAGTTCAAAGATGTGTTAGGATGATCTGGTCATAATAATTAATGAAGACTGCTCTAACACAACAACTGTAAGATGTAGCTGACATTGCATAAGGTTTTCCCAACAATTTTGAGCTTCAAGATGGTGAGAGTCAAGAAACAGCAAGCACAAAAAAATACAGTTAAGTCCACCTAAATAAGTAGGGAATAGCATGAGCCTCTGAAGATCAAAAAGGAACAACAAGTAAACAAAAACTCTGGTTATGATGACAAAGAACAAGTGCAGATCACAGAATATGCTACACCAGGGGAAGTGAAAGAACTTTGTGCAAGCATAGAGAAGGAATGAAATGGAAAAAAAAAAAAAAAAAAAAAAAACACAACAAAACACTGGAAAGAAGTATTTCAGATTGAAGTGCCTCAACAGGTAAAAGAGCCATGGAACAACAGGAAAGAATGAGCACACCTGGAAGGAAGTCTGGTATGGCTGTATTAAGTTAACATCACTCATAACAGTTCAAGTTGAAAAATTTGGTAGAATAGGAGGTAAGTTAACAAAAGAAGGAAAAAAGACTGGAAGTACAAGCACAGACATCAGTAGAGATGAAATAATAATCAGAGAGTAAAAAGCAGTGAAGAATAGCAAGAGGACGGTATTGCAGAAGCCTACGGAGAATAAGACTTCAAGTGGTAGAGGATTACAGATAGTATCAAAAGCAGCAGAGATCAAGGAGGGTAAGAAAGGAGGAGAATACTTGCAACTTGGCCAGAAGGAGCCTGTAGAGATCTTAATGAAGGCAATATCAGCAGAGCAGAGAACCTGGATTGGAATGAATTTAGGATGAAGAAAGAGAAGAGAATGTATGACAACAAACAAACACTTCTGTTCAGGAGCTTGGAAAAAGAAGGGAAGCAAACTAGAGTTGACTGTCAGCTTTAAGGATGGAGGATAGTAACTCCGAATAAAATTAGGAAGGGAATAAGATGGCAGCAAGAGGTAAACCCCAGAAATTTGGAATTAAAATAGCAAAAATGAATGAATGGGGCTTTGGGGTGAGGCTAAGCAGTTACAGGCAGAAAAAGCAGAGAGCAAATGTGAGAATCTATCACTGTAAGTGAAAGGTAAGAGTGCTGAGCAAAGGTAAACATGGCAATTTTAATCAGTTTATTTCTGGAAACCTTTAGATTCGGCAGGGGAAGAGATACAGGACAAAGCCTAAGGCAGAGTTCTAGACAGCCTGCAAAGCAAAGGAACTGGGAAATGCATTCAGGAAAAAAAAAATAAAAGGAAAAAAAAAAAAAAAAAAAAGGATAATTGAGTGTGAAATAAGTTAGGAAGAAGTCAAAGCAATCTGCCTGGTTCAACAGCCAGACACAGGTAAGTGCAGTATCATAAATGAGACGAAGAGGTGGCAGTCATGAGAAAGGGACTTAGAGATGCAGTAATCAGATAAGATGGCTGGCAAAATCAAAACAGAAGTAATCATTCCTCTCAGAAACAGAAATGGGGATTAGCAGATAATGATCAAATAGGCTAGAGAGGAGGAGAATAAAATGAATGATAAATCAACTTGAAAAACAAAGTCATAAGAAATGAGGGTGAGGCGTCCATGGTAAGAGGAAAGACTGTACGTCAAAGACTAAGATGTAGCTACACAGGGAGAAGTGAGAACTAAGTGAGGCAACGTGAAGGAACGTCTTGATGGACTCCTGTTTGAGGAAAGCTTAAGAGGAAATAATGGAGGAGGGAAGTATAAAGACAATGGTTGGCGAGGAACACATTTATTGTTAATGATAAAAGGCAGGATAAGAGGTACATTAGGTTATAATGTAATGGTGTACTGTTGGTAGCAAGATTTCTGCAATTGACATACCGGACAAAACTGTTGCTGATAAAACATTTGGCAACTAGCCTTTGATTTTGGTTTCATGAGGCGATACACGATTGCTCATGGCTAAGGAATTAAATAAACAACCATTCTTTATACTTTAGTTACATATATGGGATACAAAGCTCAATTACTGTATCATATCTTGCCACACATAAGGAAAGCAAATGAAAGGTTCAGTAGCATACTATTAACATCATGCACCCTGACAGTGGAACACAAGTTTAACTGAAAAACAAAATCAGTTAGTTCAAACCTATGAACAAGCCAGGTATTTAAACTATCTGATCCTCTATTTCTTCTGCCTTTGGTCTAGTGTTACTCACAAATAAGCCTGCATTTTCATTTACGAAAAGAACGTAACAGCAAATAGCAATTCAAATCCATACAGAAGAGCTAGAAAGGGCCTATTAAGCACTTAAGAAAAGCAATTTGATAGGAACCACAGAAAATAAGGTTGCAGAAGACTTCAAAACATTACTTCAAAACATCAACTTCACTCTCAGCGCTCCAAGTCTGTATCAGCTTTCCTTAAGCCACTCCTGAGAGATGTTTATCTAATATTTTTTTTTAGCAAACCTCAAACCACACAGACTCCACAATCTCCCCTGGCAGTCTACTGCAGTGACCAAACAATTTTAAAACCTTCCCCTAACATTTGGCATGTATCTTCCTCTCTGCAATTCAAACCCTTTCTTCATGCACCATAAAGCTGATTGCCTTCCTCCTTACAGCAAATCTGCTGTACAGAAAGGATGTTTCCTATTTCAACTGGACAGCTCTCTGCAGTGTTTTGCATTGGAAGGACACGGCCCTTATGAAAAAGGAAAAAGCCAACAGTCTGCCTGAACGGATGAGCTACAAAAACTCATCTCTGTGATGAGTCATCTGGGACAGCAGAGACGGACTTTCCCACATAAGCAGTCTGCTGGAAGCTGGATTCAGCCACCGCAAGTGACACAGCCAAAGGAAACTAACATTTACAAGCAAGCAAAGCACAGGCATAGTGTTAGTCATTATCACTCGTCCTACAGACTGCAAAAAGGGGCCAAGCAAAAAACTGTATAGCCCTGGTCGTGTTGTTCAAAGGGAAAGTTAAAATGGGAAGCAGAGCTGCAAACTGGAGGGCTGGGTGGAGCTCCCGCTTGTGCCTTGCTTGGCAGCACCACTCTGGGGAAAAAAAAAGGAGTCAGTAAGGGCAAAGCAGAGCAAAGGGGGAGGGGGGAGAAAGAAAAACCGAGCTCATAAATAAGAGATGTGCATAGAGCCAGTCACACACAGGAAGAAGGATGGAGGAATGCACCTGAACCCTTGGCCATGGAGTGGGGAAGGGGGCTAAGATAAGGAACGTCCCCCTGCCTAAAGGCAATGGACCTGGGGGAGGCCCTGGGCATGGCAAGTTTCCTCCCATGAGATGGCTCCTCTCTCTGGCGTGGGGGGAGCAGGGACCCCAAAGGAACAGCTGCAGGGAAGGGGAGGGAGTGCAGAGCTATATAGGGGGGTGCACTGAGGCATGGCAGAGGGGAAGAGGAAGTGTGAAGCCATAGGACAAGCGTGCAAGGCAATATGGGGATGGCAGGGGAGAGCTGGAGGTATGCAGCTGCAGCTGTGGCAGGGGATTGGAGCAGGGAATGGCAAAGATTGTGAAGCCATAGCAGGGCTGAGGGAAGAAGGGCCAAGATGATGCCGATTCCCAGGGGAAGCGGCAAGCATAACAGCATACAGAGCAACGCAGAGGGTGGAAGTGTGTAGCATGGTGGGTGCAAGGCAAGGCAGGGTGAAGGGGTTGCGCAGCCATAAGGGGGGAAGAGCGAAACTACAGAGGGGAGCAAAATGCTGCACAGTTATGTCCATGAAGGCTTGTGGCAGGGGTGTGAAGTGGTTTACAGCCATGAGAGAGCAGAGCTGTTGGCAGGGCATGAGAGGGGAGGGAAAAGCAAGGGGTTGGCAACCATGGGAGAGTATGGTTACAGGTGATGCAAGCAAGTGCACCGCCATGGGAGAGCAGTGCTACAGGTGAAGCAAGCGGATGCACTGCCATAGGACAGCGGGGCTACAGCGGCGGGGGGGAGCAAAGGGGTGCACAGCCACGGGAGAGCAGGGCTGCGCGGGGTACCAGGGGCCGCACGCCCACCAGAGAGCGCAGCTATGGAGGAACACGCGGGTGCACAGCCATGGGACGGCACGAGAGGCAGACCGGGGGGGCGGGGAGGAGGGGCACGGCCATGGGGGACAGCAGGCCTGCAGGCGGGTGTAACAGGGCCCGAAAGCGGGGGAGGTGCGGGCAGGGGAGGTGGGGGGGGGGGGGGGGGGGCAGCGGGGCGCGGCGGCGGGCGCGGGCCGCTCACCTGCGCGGCGGAGCTGCAGCAGCTCATGGCGTCCGCGAGTCTCTGCCCTGGCGGTGCCCGCTAGGCGCCAGGCGGCGGCGGGCAAGCGCTAGGCATCCACTCACCGCGGCGGCCGGCCCCGGGGAGGCGGCGCGGAGAACCGCCGGGCCCGATCAGGCGAGCGCGGCTGCAGCACCAGCCCCGCCGCGGCGCCCCCTCATCCTCCCCCCGCGGCGGCGGCGGCCGCGGCTGAGGGGGAGGGGGCGGGGCCTGCGGGGCGGGTGGGGGGCGGGGCCGGAGGGGGCGGGGCCAGGGTGCTGCAGCGCGGGGGGTACCTGCCCGGCCGGGTGGCCCCGCCCCGCCCCGCGCGCCGCGGGTCGCCGGCGGTGGCGCAGTCGGTTTCGCGCGGTCGCCGGGGCGGTGGCGGGCCCGGCCCGGCGGCCGGGGCTCGGCGCCCGCCTTTTCGGAGCCGGACGTGGCCACGCGTCCCTCCCTCTAATCTTTCTCCATCCCCCTGGAGCGGGGGGACGCACCCCTGTGCGAGGACTGCGTGGGGGATGGGTGGCTGCGTGGGGGATGAAGCCGTGCTCTGGTCGGGCAGGTTTCCAGGTGGCTGATGCTCTCCGAAAGGGAGCCGGGCTGCTCGTGTGGGCACGGGAGGGCACTCGGGGTGCCTCTGCTTGCTGGTGGGAGACGCTTGAGATCCACAGCCCGGTGGGCCGGTGCGTTACGCTGCCTGCAGTGTGGTTTATCCCGTTCTCCAGACTAGCTCTTGTCATTGGTGGCAACGTGCAGAGCACCCAGTCTTCTGAAACGATGGGATTGAGCGATTGTGAAAGATGAGAGTCTGTCCTGTGGATTTGCTGCTGATTGCCACATGTTTGCAGCTGGTTTCGGCGAGCTTTGTAGCCTTCTCAGAGGCAGGAATGCAGGTGTCATTCTTCTGAGGCATAGGCCTCAGTAACTGCAAAAAACTGGTTTCATGAATTACATCGGGATGATGTTTTCTGTGTAGTTAGCTGATCCAAATTCAGGCTCAGAACTGTAGGCTGGGCCGTGTTCGTAAGCCATGCAGGCAGCAAGAAATGCCTCAGAGCTTCTGAACCAGTGAAGTCACGACATGGCTGCATCTTTTACTTGTCAGTGGCAACAAAGGTAACAGCTTTTCTCAGAATTAGAGTTCCCTTTGGAAACTGGCAGTCCCACCGAAGGTAAGTTTAGTGGCCCAGCAGTTGTATTTGAACGTGGCCTAAACGTATTAAGTGATAATCAAGTTAAAATCTTCTTTTTTGCTGAATTTTAACTCTATCAAGGTTAATTCAATCAATATAGTAGAAGATCCATGATTAGAAATAACATCCCAATGACTTAAGTTTAAAATGATCTGTTGACAGGCAGAATGAGGCAAAAGAGGCCTTGTGACTAGAGAAGGAATCTTGTTAGGCTTCCAAAATAGAACAAAAACTGGCATGTGGGTGAACTGTGAATTTTTTCCTTTTTTTTTTTTTTTTAAGCTCTTCTCATTTTAATGGCAAGTAACATCACTTCTCACAATTTTTATGTTTCCTAACACCTGGTTAAAATACCTTTCTACCTCTTATATGTACATTGCCATTATTTCTCACTGTTCCACCTCATTTTAAATATTTCTGTTGTATTCAAAAGTGTGACCATCAAAGAACTGTTCTGCAGGAACACTCTCTAGGAGGCATGTTTTTTCTGTGATTGACACAGGACTAGGTAACAAAAAATCCGTAGTCAATTTTGTGTAACTTTGGATGCATCACTTCAGTTTCTCTGTTCCTCAGTTTTGCCATTTATAAAACTGACTTCTGTCTCAGTGTTTTTCATTTGTTTGGGTAACAAGAGCATAATGATGTCTGTGCCATAAATGTGATTTAGTCAATCTGTTTAATAGACCAAATTCAGTTTTTTGAAATAGTCCTTTTATCTAGGACTTTCATAGCAGTAGTTTCAGTTAGGACCTCAAAGTGTTGTCATGGTAATCAAATACTGCCTCCTACTTTTTGCATGTAGACAACACATTCAGCACGATTATTGGAAGATAATAATGGATGAAAACACAGTCTCTGCCCCCAAAATTTGTGGACACAGGGGAAAAAAAAAAGGCACTCTAGCCAATAAGCAAAAGTTTGTGCAGCTGCTTCAGGGAAATGGTAGCTTTATAGTGATTTTAAAATGCCAGTCCTTGGTTGGCTAGGGGAGCCCCTAAGAAAAAGCTTGTGGAGACATACCAGCTGTAGCACAGGTAACTGAGGTTTAGTGTAAGTATGTGACAACTGTAGAAGGTATTTGGACAAAACTTTGTTTTAGAAATAATCGCCTAGATAATTGCCCTAATCTCTGCTTCTGGCCTGAGGAAATTAGTTGTGTTTTTAACAGGGATGCTGTAATAGCAGCAGTAGTAGATGTCTGCCTTTCATTAGTTCAAGGGTGCTTTGTTTGGCCCGTCACACAAAGGAGAGGAAAGATTAAAAGGTTATTGCTTATTCATGATTGTACTAGCTTTTTTATTTATTCAGATTAGTATTTTGTGAAGAAACTGGAAGGGATTGAAATGGGAATTGCTGAATCTAGATTCAGTAATACAGAAGTTGAACTTTAAGCATATGCCTAAGTGCATTTTTTGAATTGTGCTCTATAGATTCCTTTCTGAAGCTGCTTGTAAACTGCTCTAAGGCATGGTTACATCACAAGCTGCTAAAGTGCAAATCTGACTGCCAAGATTTAGTGTTAATAAGAATCTAGCTCTTTTTCTATAACAGATTTGAGTCTGTCCATCTCCTCTCAGCCAAGAAGGATGAGCTTTTTCTATATTTTCATTTCATTGCTAGACTCAGAATGACAGGTTAGAGTTTTTGAAGTATCACTGGATACTGAGAAAGGGAGACAGCAACAGGGAGAAGGCCCTAAAATGACAAAAATGCCTTTAGTACTCGAGTAAATTGTAGGTTGTATCCAGACTTCTTCCACTCTGAGAAGTGTGGGAAGGACAAAAAAAAAGATAAGGAAACCTTCCAGAAAACATGCATGGTGTGATAATATTTACCTTTTCTCAGCAGGTGCAGGATCCTGACCTTAGGCATCCATATTTAAACACCTAAGGATTTTTCAAGGTCCAAACCAATCTGCAGTTTCATTATTATTCAATATTAATGACCTTTAAAATAACTAGATAAAATTCAGACGATTTCAGTATGTTCTTAAGTATGAATTTTGGGATGAAGTTTTCAAGAAGGCTCAGTACTGGGCTAACTGCTCAATCAAGAGGTGGTCCAAACCTGGCTTTGCTGTTAATAAAAGGGAAGAATTGCATCATGCAGACTAAAAATTGAGTATTGCTTCATCAAGGGGTTGTTACAGTCTATGTGTTTGCCTCCCTCTCCTAATAGACAAACTCACCTTATTATAATTCTGCTGATTTCTTCTACCTGCCAATAAATCTGCACCTATGAATGCTTGGCAACCACTTTGCATTTTTAAAAATCCTACCCTGCGCTTAGCCTCAATATTCCTGTTCTGTTGGTGGTGGTGGTTTTTTGTTTTTTGTGGGTTTTTTTTTGTTTTTTTAAATCTATTTAGATACAGAATCACACACATTCCCTCTATATTGTGCCCTGTGAACAAACTGTTAGCTTTCATACACATGTATCAGTGCAGGATTAGGAGTAATTCTGTTGATTTCAGCAGAATACTAACAAAGTACAACATGAGAAGGCATTCCAGCAAGCACATGGCAAACAAAACGTCAGCCTGTCTCTATGAGCAATGTGGAGATAAAGCCCACTGACCCACTCAGAGCCCTCTTACCCCATTATCTTGTATATCTCAGAACACACCCGAAACAGATCATCTTCCTGAAAAGTTCAACCATGCCATTGTACTTTTTGGCTGCTGGGCAACTACAACAGGTATGCTTGTGTCAAGTCACACAGGACACCAGTCACAAAGCAGAGAACTGAAGCTATAAACTCCATTTTGTACCCTGAAGATCCTGTCAGTTAACGATTTTTAGTCAGTTGTGGCAAAAGCATTTGAGTGATCCTGCTTTGCAGTTAGAATGACTGGATTCTTGCTGACTTTTTCATCTCTGACTAGGAAAAGTTGCATATTGCCCAGCAAGTCTGAGCTCTCACAAGTTAAAGGTAAGATTTGTTTCTTACTGCCTGTCTGACCACAGAGCATCAGGTCACTTCAGTGAGCTTACTGGGAAAGTTATAAAACCTGCCATGATGTGTGTACTTTGGTCGTGCTAGGTCTGTTTCAATTTAAGAACTGGAGACTCCAAAGAAAGAAAAGGTGATAGAATGCCTTTTAAATGAACCGGGACAGTAGAATCTTCTTTCCCCAGTTCTGATTCAAAATTTTGGTCCATTGTACTGTTAGAGGTGTAGGTTTTTGGTGAGGGGACAGAGGTGTACAGTGGAGGTCCTGTCCATTGGTAGCTATCAAAAATGTTCAAGATGAATTAGAAGAAAAATATTTTTGTGTGTTGGCAAAATGGCTTTCTAAGCGTGTGCTTTGTGCCTACAGTAGTCCGTTCATGGCATAATGAAAGCAAAATAGATATCCTTTCTGTATTGGAACGTGTTGCTTTGCACTATTTAATAACTTTTGGACTTCATTCTGATGTTGGATGCCTCTGCATGAAGAACTGTATGAATAGAACATTTCACACCAGTGAAACACCTGTCATACATTCACATCATTATCAGCCTGAACCAGAGTCATGCTAGCAATGTGCAGCTGAAATATTCCATAACCAGTATCCAAACCCCTGAGAAATCCACTCTTCAGAAAATGTTCTTTAAAATAGCTGGGACAGTGCCATTGTGTGTGTGGGGGTGAGGTGTCCGACTGATGTCACGGTAGCAACCAGAAAAATGTAATTTGTTTCAGCTTTGCAGAAGTTTTGTGTTGCCCAAAGGAAACACACAAAGCCAAGTGCAATCCTTCCTGTAGAGACAGTATCATCATAATACATGATTAGCCATTATGATCTCCTGTCATTTCACTCCAGGAGAATTATGTCTCTCACACTGAGTATATAAGACTACAGGTGGAGGACTGCCTGCTACAAATCTCTTGTAAGGCTGCTGCAGTAAATCTCTTCGAGAAAAGTCATTGCCTAAAAAAGACTATGCTACAGGAACCTGCCATTTGTTTTCGTAGGAGAGATGGAAAGAGAGGCTGTGGAGGGAGGTACTGTTCCATTCTACACTCCTTAATGTTGTG